ACGTAACTAAGTTTACATATTGATGAACTTACTTAAAGTTATGTAAAAGTTAACTGTTTAATATTACCAACGTGAGGACGTTTTTTTCATGTTTGTTTTTTTTTTTTTTTTGTAAATAATTAAATTTTGTCTTTTGTTTCGCGATACAGATTTCTTTTATAATAATAATAATAATATTTTTTTTTATACTTCGTGAAACGAAATAAAACGATTGCATAAATGTTATGTCTTTATTAAACTCTGTAAGATTTTCACAATTTCCCCCATGAATTTTTTTTTTTTTTAAATTTCTATTTGATTAATATTATTATTTTAAATTATCGCATAAAGTTATAATGTAAGATTTAAATCGTTATTAAATTTATCTGATCGTTTGCACGAGAATTTTTAAAAAATACTTTTACTTTTTAAATATTATCAAAACATAAATAAAAAAATTTTTTTTGCACTTTTTTTTTTTTTTTAGAAAAAATAAATAATTTTTAGATAAATATGTAAAGATTAGTGAAATTTTTTTTTCTATTTAAAAAAGGAAAAACTTGTTTAACATCTTGCTTTCGACAAATAATTTACCATCATTCAATGCAATTATAAAAAAAATTCGATGTTACGATGCCACTAATTTGTTTTTTTTTCATTTTAGGGGGGCCAAAATAAAACCCAAATTACTGTTCGAAATAATAATAATAAAAAAAAAAAAATTCAATTTTTTAATACCATACATTAGATTTAATAAAATTTGATTTCAGTTTTTTTTTTTTTTTTTTGAATGCAGTTGAAAAAAAAAAAAAATTTCGTAATTCTGAGGTTGCAACCAACGTCAATTACATGTCTGGATTAAGTTTAAACAAGAAAAACTAAATTAGAAAGAAAAAAATTTTTTTTTTTTTTTTTATTCCTTTACCCGATTATTTCGCATGAACGGATTTAATTTTAGTTATTTTTATTATTATTATTATCTTTTGATAATAACTATATATATATGCTTTTTATGTTATGAAGCCCGTATTTCAATAAAAAATTTTTATGATGCCAAAAAAAAAAAAAAAAAAAAAAATTTCGTTTTCTAGTTAATCATTCGGACTAAGTTCATACACGTGGGAAATATAATTTTTTCTACCGAAGACGGGTACCCAGGATATTTAAATCAAAACCTACGGATTTTTATTTATTCTTTTCTTTTTTTTTTTTTTTTTGTTTTCTACTTGAGCCAAATCGTTTATGAGATATGACATATTGCCAAAGAAAATTTTGATTACGTGAAAAATACTGACGAATCATTTTATAAAAAAAAAAAAAAAAAATATTTTGACTTATAACGCGGGTTAAAAGGTGAAGTTATCACGGTGGGAAATACTTAAATTTTTTTTTTTTTTTTTTTAATAAGTTAACAATAGGCTTACCCTTTTTTTTGTTTCCCCCTCGTCATAATGAGTTTCGTAATCAATCGATTATGTCCGGGAGCTATGCGTTTCCTTGCATTTATCTTTGTTGGTTCCGAACTGAAGCAATAAAAAAAAAAAAAAAATGTCATTTAAAAAATTTTTTTTAGTATATCCTTGACCTAGAGGAAAACAATACATCATTAAAATTAATTAAAATGTTATATGTTAGATGAGTAGTAACTTGTCGAAGTGATGACAATAAAAAAATTTTTTTTTCTTTTTAACAAAAGTACATTTTTATTTATTTATATAAAAGAAAAAAATTTCACTTTTTTTTTTAAAAGTAATTTTTTGTCCCGTGTTACGGCATGATCAAAAATTCGTGATTTTACACCATCCTTTTATTGCATAACAGAAAATTATAGTTATTATTTTTATTTTTTTTAAACGACAAATATTATTTGACAACTTACATTTCCTATATAATTTACGCATTGTAAAAGTTTTTTAACCCCTTTCTACAAAATTATTATGTGTAATTGTCTTTTATAAGAAAAAAAAAAAAAAAGAAAAAAAAGTAATTTCTGTAATGAATTTTTTTTTTTTTTTTGTATCCAAAGAAGAAAATTATAAAATGATAAATAATGACACCTTTATCGATGATAAAACAACCAAGGATTTCTTTTATAAAAACCTTTAATAATATTATCATTTGAAGATGGTTCAGTCAGAAAAAAAAAAAAAAAAGATTTTTACAACAATGATTACGGTTATATTGTACCCCCACTTATGTATCATTTTCATATAAGTAATTATTTCGAAATAATAATAGTGAAAAGAAAAGGAGATGTAGCAGACTTTTATAGAAAACTAATTTTAATCGTTTCTTGGTCAATTGACCTTTTCAAAATTTTCTACCCGCGACCTAAATGAGTTAAAAAAAAGCATTGTTTAATTATGTAATAATGAACAATTGATTTTTAAAAAATTTTAAAGCTGCACGTTTGCTTTTTGTTTCAGATGTTATTTGCGGTTCCTTGCATTGTTGTAGCTCTTATTGCTGCCGTTTTTGCCGAACCAGCAATAAATAATGCAAGTCAATCACCAAGACCCGGTACCAGACCTGGAAGATTTTTGTCATTACCCGTACCTAACAAATGCAGTTCACGTAAGTAAATTAAATTAAATGCTTCAAACAATCTCAATAGAAAATTTTAAGACAGCCATAAAACAAATTGTATAATTATAAACCTAGCAAACAAGAACATATTCCTTTTGTTTCAGTTGTTAATAATTAATTTATAAAGTTTTCTTTTTTTAAAAAAAAAATAATGACAGTAATGATAATTTCACAATATTTAAATCTGTGATAAAAATAAATTTAGGATTTAGTTTTAATTAAGTATAATGATACTTGCAGAAAATAAAATTTTCGTCTGTAACACAATAATTATTTTATGTCCCTCCACTTTTTATAATTGCTTAAACCTAAACTTTAAGAAATATTACAGTGCTATTGCAAAAAACATCTTTTTTAATTAAAATTTTTTTTCTTTATAAATTTATTAAATGTTTAGGTTGAGTTTTAATTTTGGTTTAATTGAAAATTTAAATTAATTTATTTCATTTAAGAAAATTGTTTATAATTTTTTTACAGGTCCAAAAGAATGGAATTACAGAGGACACAATTATTTCTTCAGTGGACATCATCCACAATTTAGAAACAAAAGAGTGGACTGGTTGGACGCCAGAAATATTTGTAGAGAATATTGTATGGACTTAGTTTCAATGGAAACTCAAGAAGAGAATAATATGGTATTTAGACTTATTCAACAAAGTGAGTAGAAAATGTAACTTTAAAAAAAATGCATACTACATATATATGCAGTTTAAAAACAACAACAACATTGTAATAAATTTTTTAAAAATTTATCATGTTTAAAATTGTAGATAATGTCCCTTACATCTGGACCAGTGGTCGTCTTTGTGACTTTAAGGGATGTGAAAACCGCAGAGATTTGGAACCTAAAAACATTTTTGGATGGTTTTGGTCTGCCACTAGAGGAAAGATGGCACCCACCAATCAAATTCCTAATGGATTTGGGTACAATCCATGGAGTTTTTCAGGACATAAGAGACAAAGACAACCAGATAATGCTGAATTTGATATCAATGGAACCAATGAATCTTGCATGAGTGTACTCAACAATGTTTACAATGATGGAATAGCTTGGCATGATGTTGCTTGCTATCATGAAAAGCCATTCATTTGTGAAGATAGCGACGAATTGCTTAACTATGTTGCAAGTACCAACAGGGGTATCCGTCTGTAATTCTATCTTTACAAATCAATTAGGGTTAATTAAATAGTTGTCTTTGTGCCCACAAAATGACAGCAAAACTTGAACATCATTTAAAAAGCTTGAATTCTGCCAATCACACATATATATTTATTTAATAAAAATCATTTTTAATTTACAAACTTATTCATTATAATAAAAAAAAAAGAATGCAAGAACATTAATTACTGCCATTAAATTTTTTTATAACTATTTAATTTTTTTTTTTTTTTTTTTGTTGAATAAACTTAATTTTTTTGTGTACTCAACAATATAAATATCTACATGGTAAAAAGCTCAGTAAAATTTTATTTTAAATATTACTTCTTAAAAATTTATACACTAGGCTATTAAGTATATTTGATATAAGCTACTCTGATTATTCAATAAAATTTTTTTTTTTTTTATAGATACATCACTGCCCCATTCTAAATATTTTCACTTATTAATTTTACTTTCATTTATTTGTACATATTAGTTATACAGGGCTTTTTGTATCTTATTGTGATTTATTAAAAGAATTTTGTTAATAATTGTTTTTTTTCTATATTTATTAAAAAATTTACCTTAATTTGTTCATTTCCTATGTATGTTGATAAAATTAAACTCACTTAAACTCACCACTCACAATTCACTTTTTTTATCACAAATTTTTTACAGAATAGAACTAAAAACCGGTAATTATTGAACATTTATTTCACTCAACAAAAAATGCAATAGAATTTGTTAAAAAGCCGTTACACTTTTTCACTTTACATCACTTTTTCTATACGAATAACGATAGCTAAAACTATGGGAATATTTTAACCAATGATATTATGATTACTATTATTGTAAAACCTATCTAAACTTAAAAACAATTCTTAAAACTTATAAAAGAAATCTTAATTATTTTACCCGCTTCTAACCGTTCGGAGAGACAATAATTTTATCGTGTAAGAAGAAAGAAGTAAATGCTGCCAACATTAGTTTTAGTAGTGAGTTAGAAAATGTCATTCCTTGTGTATGTTATGTTTTAATAACAAAGTAAAGTAAATAACTTATATATTAGTTTTATATCATACTTTTTTTAAAATTTGTTAGCCCATTATAAATTAATGCTTTTTAAAAGTAAAATATATATTTCTATTATATTCATGTTAAGAATTTAAATTATTTAATATCAATTATTTACGTCACTTATATTTATATAAACTAAGTAATGTTTGTAAAAAAGAAATTTAAAAAATGGATTTAATATTTGAAGCTGCTTTAGCTCATGATAGTTCTTCATCAGAATTAGAAGATATTCCACAAACAAGAGAACCAGTTTGGATTTTAGGCAGAAAATACGATGCTGGACGTGGTACGACGCATTACTTTGTTTCTTATCATTTTTTTTTAAAAACAATCTTTTTTATTTATTTTACTCATCTCCAAAATAAAATTTAAGAAAAATTTTTTTCCTACTAATAATTTCTAATCTTTTAAAAAATGTATTTATAACGTTCATAATTTTATTCATAAATTTAAACTACTACTTAAAATAATAATTTGTTTTAATGGAGAGCAGGCTTTTCATGACCTAATTTTTTTATAAAATAAAATTCATTGTTTAATCATTTTGCAGATGTAACAGCAATTAGGTCAGACATTAAATCGAAATTATGGTTTACCTACAGAAAGGGATTTGTACCTATAGGAGATTCTGGATTAACTTCCGATAAAGGATGGGGTTGTATGCTGAGATGTGGGCAAATGGTTTTAGCCCAAGCATTAGTTTGTTTACATTTAGGCAGAGACTGGAGATGGAAGAAAGATTCAAAAGAACCCGAATATTTACGAATACTTAAAATGTTTGAAGATACAAAAACTGCTACTTATTCAATTCATCAAATAGCACTGATGGGAGTATCAGAAGGGAAAGATGTTGGTCAATGGTTTGGCCCAAACACTGTAACACAAGTTCTCAAAAAACTCTCAGTGTATGATAAATGGAGTTCAATTGTTATTCATGTTGCTTTGGATAACACCATAATAGTTAATGACATTAGTAAGATATATTTTTGTAACGGCAATCGATTTAAATTCTAATTAAATTCGATGTAAATTAAAATTTTTTTTTTGCTTTTTTTTTTTAGAATCGTTGTGTCAAAGAAATGAACAATCTGTTATTGATAGTTCAGCACAAAAACATTCACCTTTGAATGAACCTGTTTATTTTAATTCGGCAAGAAAGTGGAAACCTTTGCTACTTGTAGTACCTCTTAGGCTTGGCCTTTCTGAAATTAATCCTGTATATTTAAATGGACTTAAAACTTGTTTTACCTTTAGGCAGTCCTTAGGTGTTATAGGTGGAAAACCTAATCATGCTTTGTATTTTATTGGTTGTGTTGGAGAGCATGTGATTTATCTTGATCCTCATACAACTCAACCTGTTTCAATAGTTGATGGTAAAGAATTATCATATGAAAAAACGGCTGATTTGTCTTACCACTGTCCGAGAGCTAGTAGAAGTCGAATACTCGATATGGATCCTTCGGTTGCAGTTTGTTTTTTCTGTAGTTCTGAAGTTGAATTTGATATACTGTGTCAACAAATTCAAGAAAAATTAATCAAATCTGAAAAACAGCCTTTATTCGAAATAACTTTAAACAAACCTCGACACTGGATACCAGTTGAAAATCCTGTTGAGCGAACTTTGAGTAAGTAGTATAATTAATGAAGGTTAATCACTTGAAAAACTTGTGAAATTTAAAAAATACATAACATTTTCTCTAATTATACATTTAAATTTTTATTTCAGATTTACAAGATTATGAAAGATCATTTGAAAATTCAGATGAAGATTTTGTACTTTTGGGGTAATATTTTTAAAACAGGTGGCATAATTTGCAAGAAATAATTTCATTTTTGAAATTAGGCCTTATGTAAAGATTTTAACATATTTTCATGTTTTTAATTATGTAGTTTTTGTCAGTCTAAGTCAATTTTAACTCGGATTTAATTTAAATTATGTTGAAGGTTAACTTTATTGTAAATGAGATTTTTTTTTTTGTATATGTTTTGTGTATAATTTTTTAAAAACATTTGAATTTTATTATTAAAAAAAAAAAAAAAAATTTTAATTAAGATTTTTTTTTAAGTTACTTTAAAAATAATAAAAGTGAAATAATCAAATAGTTAAAAAGGTTATTTTTAAAATTTCCCATGACAAAAAATTCTATTAAAAACAATTTTAACCGCGTTACATTAACAATTAAAAACTGCAATGAGTTACAGTAGTAAATTTTCAAAAAAATGTGTTTCAAATTAAAAATTTTTCACTGTAAAAAAAAAAACAAAATCAATCAGCAACATGAAACTCCAAATTTGACTACTTACAATTAAATAATATAATTAAATAACACAGAACAAATTGATGATGTTTTGCCACTTAAAAATAAATTACAATACTTTTTATTTAATCAAGTATTGAAACTACTCATATATTTTAATCGCTTTAATATTTTAAAAAATAATTATGATATTATAAAATAATTTATTATATATATATATTGTAATAAATATTTAAATAAATAAATATTTTGTTAAAATATTAAATTTGAACTATATTCATTACAATCAAAACAATTTTCTTTTTTTTTTTTTTTTTTACATAAAGTAAAAAATTTTTTTTTTAATAAATTAAAAACTTTTAAAATTTTAAATATTTTATACCACAACATTAATGAGCAAATAGTTTTCACACCTAAACATATTAAAATAAATATTTAAATTATCTTTGGCATCACATACTTTGTTTTAATTAATAAATAATAATTTTCGAATGGTAAAATATTGATAAAATTGATGCAAGAGAAAAATATATGCAAAAGATTTTCATTATTCAAACAATTTTAAAAATAGTTTTTAGAAACATTTATGAGCTCATTTTAAAAAATACTAAAAAAAATTTCTAATAATTTATTATTCAAACAAATAAATTTTTTTTTATAACCGATGCAAACAGTTTGCCCTCTACAAATCGATATGAATATTAAAAATCCCTGAAATTTTTTACTTTTTGCCATTTTATGGCAATTGTATAAATATAAAAAGTATACAATATTCAAAACCAATACATTAAATAAAATCAAAAGTGCATTTAATAAATAAAAGTGAAACGTGTAAGAGTTTTAGTTAGATGTTAAAAATCTTAAAAACTTACGCTTATCATCGAAATGATAAAAATTTACTGAGATTTTTCAGTAAAAGCATTAAATTAAAAATTAAAAGTTATAGTTGTTGTACTTTTAAATTATTAAAGTAAATCTCAAAATTAAATTTGCTTACTTTAAACATTAATAATTGATGACATTTTTCAGATCGAATAAATATCTGAATTGTTTAATAAACTTCAGATTTTTTTTTATTTTTTCCGCCAAAATTATTGAAAATTTAAAATAATAATAATAATAAATTTATTTTGGTTTAATAGCATAGGAACCCCATTTCATATCTTTCAAATTGATAATAATTACAGTTATATTGTCATAAGAACCTCTGTAATAAGATTGAAGAGCAATACTTTTAGCACCATAAAATGGTTCATCTATATGATCTTTGATGAATGCAACTGCCTGTATTAAAAAAAATATAACATCAATTTTCAAATTGATGAATAATGTCAAATATATATAAAAAAAATTTTGTACCTCTTCATTGGTAAATGTATCCCATAGGCCATCAGAGGCCAAAATTATGAATTGTGGTTTATGATACTTTAAATCAAAAGAAAGTATATCGGGATCAGCTATCACAAAATTTTTGTACTTTAAAGGATAATCACCAAGAGCTCTTGATGTAGCCAGTATTCCTGCAACTCTCCAAACTCCATTAAATGCAATAAAACCACCAGCTTCCTTTATCCTTTTACTTTCCTTCAGCTGTTGTGGTTTGTGATCAAATGAAAGTGGAATTGCATTTCCTTTACTATCACACATTACACCTCTAGAATCTCCGACATTTGCTACCAGCAAATTTGAATTTACTAATAATGCAATCAAAGCAGTGGTACCAGCAACATCTTTATTTTTTCTAGTTATATCTAACAATAAGTTATCAGCAGCTAAAATTTCATCAGTTATAACTTTGCCATAATCAATACCACCAAATTTAGAACTATCCAGGTAACTTTCTAATGGTACTTTTTGAATTATTTTTTCAGTAAATTGAGCCACTTCTCTACTAATAGGTTTAATAAGGTCATCCAAAATTTTTTGAAAATTTGGCTCTGGATTAGAATAATTGCTTAATTTTTCTAAATATTCTTGTGTCGAATTAGTTTTCTTTTTTAAACTACTTTGATTGTCTACTGTATCTTGCTGTTTATTAATTTTCTGAGCATTCTGTTCTTCTTTCAATGACTTCTTATTCAGAATATTTTGAAATTGATCATCTGATAAACTGTCTTTATATCTTTTTACTTCTACCAGTCTTTTATTTAAATTTTTCATTAAAATATCTTTGGCATAATTAGCTGCAAACTGTAAAAATTTCAGCAAAACTAAAGCTTTATACTTCAAATCTAAGGCAAAATACTACTTACCTCTCCACCATGGCCGTCAAAAACGGCATACACAGAAATTCCAGTATTATTAATATCTTCATGTACTGCAAATCTATCCTCCATTCCTACCCTTCTTCCCTGAACAGAATACACGCCAATAAGGCCTTCCTTAAGTTCCCAACTTTGACCCCCGTAAGGCTTCCCATTAGTAACACTTTTTTTAGATCTATCCAAACCAGCCAGTAACTTGGTATATAAACTTCTACTCCATACATCAAAAGTCTGAAGATAGAGAAATACTATACACAAAATAGCACTTAAAATTAATGTTTCTGGCCGAACAATAAAGAGTTTAATTACTCTCCAAGTGTAACTTAAAAAAGCTGTGTTAAGAGGAAAACCTCCGCCGTATTTAGAAAGAAGTTTCATGTGGGAAATGTATGCTTGGTATAAAATTCTATCTTCAAACTCGTCCTCCATTTTAATGTTGTAACCTTTAAGTAAGAGCAAATTTTAGTGAACAGTAAATTTTAGCAAAATTGATGGCCGCAAAACTGCTCTAATATGGATATTGTTATGTAAATTCAAATAAATTAAAATGAGTGAAAGAAAATTCAGTAAAGCTGTAGGAAAGCCAGGGATGGCTGCTCAAGTTAGGGAAACTGTATCTCAAGTCGTAAAAGACTCAGCTCAGGTTAGTCATTATTTTATAAGTGATTATAATTTTTTTTTTATGTGAGCGGTAGCTTCATTTTATAATTTTAGGTAACACAAGTCAAGTCAATCGAACCTATAGATTACGAAAAATTTGTTTTTAAGAATAAAACGCTTCTTCAAAATGACCCACAACGGGAATTGTTATTGTACCCTTCCGATGATGTTTCTCAAGTTGTTCTTCCACGAAGGTATAGAACTGTAGCTCAAACATTTCCTTCTTCTTCAGAAATCAGTCAATGCAATTTGTTTGTTAAAGAATGTTTAAAAAGTTATTCATCAAATTGGAATTTAATTCATTATAAATATAGTGCTTATTCAGGGACTTACCTAGATTTGCCAAAGTAAGTAAACATTTTTTTAACTTATTATTAATTTAAAAAAAAAAAACTTTATTTACTCTAAAAATTATAAAATAATTTTTATTGTAGGTAAATTTTTAGTAAAATTTTAGTTTATTTTAAAATAAGTTTATTTTATGTAAAATAATAAAGAAATGTCACTAATAATATATAATGCATATATTTTTATTGAAAAAACTTATTTTAAACATTTATATATTGTTTTAGAGTGCTAAAATCAGAGGATTTAAAGGAAGAAGTGTATGAAGTAGACACTGAAGTTGATCAAGTAAATGAAGAATCTTTCACTCGAGTTGATGGTATCACTAAAGAAGGATATTTACTTAAGGGCCCAGATGTAGGTGGAGACAGAATATTTGTTAATTTGGGATCGAAATCTTACAAAAGAAGATACTGTTACCTAAGACATCATGTTGATGGAACTTATTATTTAGAATTGCATAAAGATGAAAAAAAAGGAGAACCTAAAGCTACTATAGACATGGACTTTTGCAATGAGGTTGTTAAGGTACAGTTCAGTATTAAACATTTCAGAAAAAAAAATTTTATATATTCATAAATTATGAAATAAATTTTAAAAAATTTCAACTACCCATAATTTGATAAAAATTGTTGTATAAACTTATATTAAAATCTTTTTAATCTGTGTTTACTTGACTATTAGTGACCTTTAATTAATTGAGAGCATTGCAGTAAATTTAAATTGTTTGACAATTGAATAATTTTAAACATCCTTTAATCAGAACTTACTGTAGCATGAATGGTTTTGAACTTTAAATTCTTTTGTAGAATTCAAAAAAAGGTCGTTATTGCTTTGAACTTCAAATGTCAGGGCATAAAACATTTACTTTTGCGGCAGAAAACGAAATAGATTTGCAAGATTGGATTATTAAATTAAATTTGGTAATTCAACAAAACAAAGCACAAGAGGAAAAAAGATGTGCTTCCTTAGACAGAGCATGTAATACTCCTCCACCTTCTCCCCAGCCTTGTCAAGTGTATGGTACTCTAAAAGGGCTGGAAGAAAGCATGAATCCACAATTGATTAAATATGGTCGTGAAACTGATGCTTCTATAGCTCTTTCTAGAAAAGAAAACAGGAGAAGATTATTCAGTATATATCCTTATATGCCAGTAAGTGAAACCTGTTTTAAAAGTGCATTTTCAACCTTTGAAATGATACATTTAATTAAATTTTATTTTGTCAATATTATTGCAGCATGTAAAGGTTGGAGGAAGTTTAGGTTCTGAGCCAAATTCAGAACCATATCGTGAACATTTTGGTCAACGAATTCTAATTCGTTGTGAAAGTATTAAATTTAAACTTCAAGCTGCATCGGAAAATGAACAAGAAGGTTCTTATCAAGTAGAACCATATTTCACTAGTTTGGCTTTGTTTGATGTTCGCCAAAATAGGAAACTTACAGAAAATTTTCATTTTGATGTAAATCATAGTAAAGTACGTGAGATGTTACCTAATGATGAGAACGAGGAAAACACTATTAAGAAAAGTCTATCATCAGAAATAGCCAATTTACCCGATGAGTGGATTATTTATCCAAAGCGAGCTCTGTTTAGTGTCAGTAATCCACATCCTGATATATATTTGGTTTTAAGAATAGACAAAGTTCTTCAAGGTGCCATTAATACAGCATCTGAACCATACATTAGAAGTGCAAAAGATTCCCGATTAGGTAGTAAAGTTCAAAAATCAGCCAAGGCTTTTTGTCAAAGGTAATTTGATATTAATCAAATTTAATTTTAAAGTTATTGTGTGTATTAATTTTCTCATGAAAACAAAACTTGAGCGTAGGTTTGATTTATACCCTGTCACTTATTCTTAATGTGTATTTAAATTCATTTTGCCAAAGCAATTTATTAGTCATTCATGTAATATTTTTTCCCGTTATTAAAAAAATTTTTATTAATGCAAACAATTTTTTTTTAAACATTTTTTAGGCTTGGGAAATATAGAATGCCTTTTGCTTGGACTGCCAGGCCATTGTTTCGATTATACAGTAATGATTTAGATAATTCTGATTTCCCTGCAATTTATAGACAAGAACCTAACAGACTTAAAGACGAAGAAATTTTAAAGTTTTTATCTGAATATCGAAAGTAAGTGAAAAAAAAAAACTATATTTATTAACAAATATTTTTAGAGAAAAAAAAATTGTTTATTAACCATTTTATTATTCGTAGAAGCGATAAATTAAGCAAATTAACCGTCATTCCGGGATGGGCCAAGATTAAAATTGAAGAATTAACAGAAATTCCGGAAAGTAAGAAATATAACTTATTAGTTTTTTTTTTTTCAGTAACCTGTTTAATTTATTGTTTGGTAGCCCTAAGTAAAACAATGCTGTGGAAATTTTCAGATACTTTAACTTCTTCGTTGGTACCTCTAAAACCGTTCCCTATACCACCTTCGAATGAGCCGACATTTGAAATAACTGAATTTGAAGGGTCATCCGAAAATGATGTGCATCCTTATACCGTTTTTAATAATCATCTTTACGTATATCCACTTTCATTAAATTTCGATACTCAAAAAAACTTCACACGTGCCAGAAACATAGCTTGTTGTATTGAACTTCGTGATTCAGATTCAGAAAATGCAAAACCCTTATGTGTGAGTTTTTGACCTTATTTTCAACAATGACATTTAGTATTTTATTCTAATGCGAAGCCATTCGTTTTGTAGTGTATTTATGGAAGACCTGGCTCGGTATTATTGGGAAAACAAATAATCACTTCAGTATTGCATCACAACACTAGTCCAGTTTGGTATGAAGAAGTCAAATTAAGACTTCCTATACATTTAAAACCTGAACATCACTTACTCTTTACTTTTTATCACGTGTCTTGCGAGATAAATAAAAAAAAAGAAAACGGAGTTGAATCTTGCGTAGGTTATGCATGGTTGCCTTTGCTGCACAAAGGACGACTTTGTGTAGAAGAACAAACGTTGGCAGTGGCATTACATTTACCTCCCGGTTATCTTTCTATACAGCCTTTGGGCTTAGGACGAGGGGTACGAATTTAAATATTTATTCGGCTTAAAATAATTGTTTCCGTGACATCATCGTTCATAAAATTTTTAATTACAGAATGCAGGGCCAGATATAACTTGGATTGATGGCCAAAAGCAAATTTTTACTGTAGGATTTCAATTAGTGTCAACTGTTATTACAAGAGACTTGCATTTACACAATTTGTTTTGTCACATTGAAAAATTAATCGATAAGCAATTGGCTGTGATACCTTCTGAAAGCGAAACGTGTAAAATAATTAAGGCTTCTCATGCTATTCAATTAACAACAGCAATAGCTTTTTTACCAACGATATTAAATCAGCTTTTTCACTTGCTTTTAATTGCGTCTACGAAAGAAATCGGACTGAATGTTATTAGAGTTTTAATACACATAATTCATCTTATTCAAGAAGCGGGTAAAAAGGATGTTTTACATCCATATATAAAGGTACATTTTACTTAAAAATTAATCATGCTCGAATACTGATGTTCAGAAAATAAAAATTTTTTTTTTCAGTTTGTTTTTGTGACTCCTACATTACCCAGCCTTAAAACAACGGTTCACGAAGAACTTAGTAAACTTTTACCTACTCTTCTAAGTCCGTCAAATACTGATTTTTTAGTTGTAAATAAATTTATGAATCATTCGAGTTTCTTTTTTCAAATTATGATCAAAAGTATGGTGCAATATTTGCTAAATACTGGTAGAATAAAGGTTTGACTTTTTTTTTTTTTGTTTTGATAAGTTTTCATAAATAATAATTATAAATTTTAATTCAATTCACTTTTTTTTTTTTACATTTCAGATGCATCGCCATGAAAGGTTTTCTGCTGAATATATGGAAAAAATTGATGAATTGTTGAAAATTTTAGTACCATACGTAATTACCAAGCATAGGGAAATGCCTTTAGAAACACTCGAGTTAAACAAAAGCTTAGCTCAATTTTTAAAAAAATGTTTAACTGTGATGGACAGGGGATATATATTCAGGCTAATAAATTATTATATGGAACATTTTAAAGAATCAGATTCAAGGACGCTACATGAGTACAAATTTTCTTTTTTACAAATTATATGCTCTCATGAGCATTATGTTGCCTTTAATTTACCCGTCCTTAATTTAAAATTAAGGCCTTCAAAAAGCACCGGTAATTATTTATTTTTTTTTTTTTTGTGCATTGCAAGTAAATTCGAGAGTTTTCTCTTTTTTATTTAATGATTATCAATTTTTTTTTTTTTGTAGATTCACCAGTAAATAATTTCGGTTTGACAGATGAATTTAGGAAACATCATTATTTGGTAGGCTTGCTGCTTCAGGAAACTACCAAGTCGCTTAATCAGGTTTCGCAAATTCGTAAATTTGCCATATCAACCTTTAGAGATATATTGGCCAAACACGAATTAGATGACCGTTATCAAAATAAAGGCCAACTGGCAAGGATAGCCAGTTTGTATTTACCATGGTTAACTGTCGTCTTAGATAATTTTAACAGATTATGTACGCCACAAAACGATGTAATTCACAATATATTAGATTCGAGGCATAGTAGGATGTCTTCCAGCAGTTCGTTATTGCAGTGCAGTTCAGCATCGAACTCCTTAAAACCCTTTCAAAGATTGGCAGTCGATCAAAATTCGCGGACTTCCATTTACTTAAAAGATTCACATTTATTTGCAGTCATTGCCGGACAAAGTAACGTTTTCATTTACTTAAAAAAATTTTGATTTTTACCTGTCATCAATATTTACTTAATTAATTTTTTTGCAATTTTTATGAAAAGCAGGTAACATGATAAATGGAACTTCCACTGCGAGTCTGGGATCTGATGAATCATACGATGGATTGTCCACTGCGTCGCAAGAAACTACAATCGTAAGAGATTCTAGGGATGAATTAGACTTTAAAACTCATACAAGATCTTTTAGCGGTATCACTACCGCTAGCCAACAACCACGCTGTGATAAGTTTCAAAATTCTGAAATTAAAGATATATTGCTGTGCTTCTTATTCGTAATAAAATATTTAGGAGAAGAAAGTTTGATTTCATGGTGGCAGCAAAATGAGTACAATGTCGTTTTATATTTTTTTTCTGTTATTGAGTAAGTAAGACAATTCGAAACGATAAGTTTTTGCCAAATATTGAAATAACCTAAATACTTTTTATTAAAATATAACGTTAAAAATTAATTTTAATTTTAGAATTTGCTTGCATCAATTTAAGTATGTTGGTAAAAAGCAAATTGTTGGAAAGCAAGCGCAAGGAAAGCCAATGAAAGCTATGACATTACCCGCAAGGATGCAACCACCAGATTTTAGTAAAACCGATGGCACAAATTTGCCCATCCCCAGCGGAACGAGCAGTGTTGGACGAGATGGGCAATTGGCACTTGATAATGATGCTTCTAAAGTTTATCAAGCTTTGCTTGAAGCCAATATGGCTACCGAAGTGGGCCTCATAGTTCTCGATACTTTAGGATTGTATTGTGTTCACTTTAAAGAAAATCTTATGTATTCTCAGGGGGATAATGCCATAATGAGAAAAATTTTTGATATTTATTTATTTTTTTTGCAAGTCGGACAATCAGAAACCTTGTTTAGACATGTTTTTGCGGCGTTGAGAGCATTTATAAATAATTTTTCAGACGTTTTATTTGAAGGTACGTAAAAAATTGTGTTAACGTTGCATTGATAAAATCTTAATTATTTTCTATATTAATATATAGGAAACGCGGAATTGTGCGGAAGACTTTGTTACGAACTTCTTAAATGTTGCAACAGTAAGTTGTCGACGATTCGACAAGAATCATGCGTCATATTGTATCTCTTAATGAGAAGTAATTTTGAATTTACCAAACGAAAAGGTCTTACAAGGGTTCATTTACAAGTATATAATATTTTTGTAATCATTGACAATGATGTAAAAAAAAAAAATTAGCAAATTATAGATAAATTTTTACACGGTATAGGTTATCATATCTGTGTCGCAAATGCTTGGCAACGTAGTGGGTCTTAACAATGCCCGATTTCAAGAGAGTTTGTCGTTAATTAATAATTATGCAAAAAGCGATAAGGTCATGAAAGATACGGGGTTGAAATTCGAAGTAAAAGATCTTACAAAAAGAATCAGGACTGTTTTAATGGCCACTGCACAAATGAGAGAAAACCATCAAGATCCGGAGCTCCTTGTAGATTTGCAGCATAGTCTTGCTAATTCTTACGCTTCCACGCCGGAATTGCGACTTACCTGGCTTCAAACCATGACAAGAAATCATCATTACAATGGGAATTTTTCAGAGGTTTGTTATTTGTCACTAGCAAAATTCGAATTTATTTTTAAAAAATATTTTTGAATTAAAGGAAAAATAAAATGATTACAGGCAACCTGTTGTCAATTACATATTGCTGCAATGATTGCGGAATATCTTAAGCTGAAGAAAGTACAGATTTGGGGTGCCGAAGCATTTGATGAATTATCGTCAAATATTTTGGTGGATGAAACGGGATTAAAATTAGATTCAGGTAAAAAATTAATTAAAACATTTTTAGATTTAATTTAAAAAAAAAAAAACTGGGTTAATTTTTATAATTTAAATATTTTGAATTTTTTATAGGAATTCAAGATGTGCAATTCACGGAACAGATATTGTTGGAACAACTCGAAAACTGTGTACCTTTGATTGAAAAAGCAGAGAGATACGAACTATTAAATCCTTTATTTAAATTAATTATTCCGATTTATGAGAAAAGAAGAAATTATCAAGCTTTGGCTCAGTGTCATCAAAATTTAGCCGATGCGTTTGCTAAAATTTCGGAAATAAACAAAACTGGAAAAAGATTATTGGGACGATACTACAGAATAGCTTTTTACGGACAGGTGAGGTGTCATCTTTAAAAACAAATTTTTTTTTTTTTTTAAATTTTCGTTGCGATGGCTGAGTCATAATTTTTATTTGTTGTAACACAGATATGCTTCGACGATAATAACGAAGAAACGGAATCTTGTCAGAAAAACGGTATAGAATATATTTATAAAGAGCCCAAAGTCACATCACTATCTGAAGTATCGGAAAAACTTTATAAATTATACGGGGAAAAATATGGTAGGGATGCAGTTAAAATAATAATGGATTCCAATCCGGTGGATCCATCGAAATTGGATCAAAAATTGGTTCACATTCAAGTAACTTCGGTGACTCCGTATTTTACGAAAAAAGAATTGGAAGTTCGTCAAACGGAATTTGAAACCACCCACGATATCAATTGTTTCATGTTTGACACTCCGTTTACAAAAGATGGTAAGGTTCGGGGTACTCCGGAAGAACAATGGAAAAGGAGAACTATTTTGAAAAGTAAGGGGGTTTCTTTTTTTTTATTTCGAGACGAAAAAGGTTTTTTTGTAGTGTTTGTGGTAAATTTTTTTTTGTTTTTCCCATAGCAAAACATTCATTTCCTTACGTGAAAAAAAGAATCGAAGTAATTAATCGTAGGATAGAAGAACACAGTCCCATCGAAGTTGCTCTGGATGAAATGAGACTGAGAGTTAACGAGTTGGAAGAAGTTGTTTTCACTCGTCCCACGGATTTGAAAAAACTTCAGCTCAGACTTCAGGGAAGCATTTGCGTGCAGGTTAATGCAGGGCCCATGGCGTATGCGAATGCATTTTTAGATCCCTCGCGTGTTAAATTGTATTCGGAAAGTAAAGTGGAAGAGTTGAAAGACATTTTTCAGTAAGTTTTTTTATTCACGTTTGATTGCCAACATGGGTCCTCCGAACAATAGTCCATTTTTTTTTTTTTTTTTGGTTTACTACGTCTTTTTTTTATTATTTAAAA